CAAGAGACAATCTCACCACCAAGAGACAATCTCACCACCTGGTATAACCAAGAGACAATCTCACCACCTGGTATAACCAAGAGACAATCTCACCACCTGGTATAACCAAGAGACAATCTCACCACCTGGTATAACCAAGAGACAATCTCACCACCTGGTATAACCAAGAGACAATCTCACCACCTGGTATAACCAAGAGACAATCTCACCACCTGGTATAACCAAGAGACAATCTCACCACCTGGTATAACCAAGAGACAATCTCACCACCTGGTATAACCAAGAGACAATCTCACCACCTGGTATAACCAAGAGACAATCTCACCACCTGGTATAACCAAGAGACAATCTCACCACCTGGTATAACCAAGAGACAATCTCACCACCTGGTATGGTATAACCAAGAGACAATCTCACCAATAACCAAGAGACAATCTCACCACCTGGTATAACCAAGAGACAATCTCACCACCTGGTATAACCAAGAGACAATCTCACCACCTGGTATAACCAAGAGACAATCTCACCACCTGGTATAACCAAGAGACAATCTCACCACCTGGTATAACCAAGAGACAATCTCACCACCTGGTATAACCAAGAGACAATCTCACCACCTGGTATAACCAAGAGACAATCTCACCACCTGGTATAACCAAGAGACAATCTCACCACCTGGTATAACCAAGAGACAATCTCACCACCTGGTATAACCAAGAGACAATCTCACCACCTGGTATAACCAAGAGACAATCTCACCACCTGGTATAACCAAGAGACAATCTCACCACCTGGTATAACCAAGAGACAATCTCACCACCTGGTATAACCAAGAGACAATCTCACCACCTGGTATAACCAAGAGACAATCTCACCACCTGGTATAACCAAGAGACAATCTCACCACCTGGTATAACCAAGAGACAATCTCACCACCTGGTATAACCAAGAGACAATCTCACCACCTGGTATAACCAAGAGACAATCTCACCACCTGGTATAACCAAGAGACAATCTCACCACCTGGTATAACCAAGAGACAATCTCACCACCTGGTATAACCAAGAGACAATCTCACCACCTGGTATAACCAAGAGACAATCTCACCACCTGGTATAACCAAGAGACAATCTCACCACCTGGTATAACCAAGAGACAATCTCACCACCTGGTATAACCAAGAGACAATCTCACCACCTGGTATAACCAAGAGACAATCTCACCACCTGGTATAACCAAGAGACAATCTCACCACCTGGTATAACCAAGAGACAATCTCACCACCTGGTATAACCAAGAGACAATCTCACCACCTGGTATAACCAAGAGACAATCTCACCACCTGGTATAACCAAGAGACAATCTCACCACCTGGTATAACCAAGAGACAATCTCACCACCTGGTATATGGAAACCAAGAAGACAATATAACCAAGAGACAATCTCACCACCTGGTATAACCAAGAGACATCTCACCACTGGTATAACCAAGAGACAATCTCACCACCTGGTATAACCAAGAGACAATCTCACCACCTGGTATAACCAAGAGACAATCTCACCACCTGGTATAACCAAGAGACAATCTCACCACCTGGTATAACCAAGAGACAATCTCACCACCTGGTATAACCAAGAGACAATCTCACCACCTGGTATAACCAAGAGACAATCTCACCACCTGGTATAACCAAGAGACAATCTCACCACCTGGTATAACCAAGAGACAATCTCACCACCTGGTATAACCAAGAGACAATCTCACCACCTGGTATAACCAAGAGACAATCTCACCACCTGGTATAACCAAGAGACAATCTCACCACCTGGTATAACCAAGAGACAATCTCACCACCTGGTATAACCAAGAGACAATCTCACCACCTGGTATAACCAAGAGACAATCTCACCACCTGGTATAACCAAAAAGAGATTGTCTTCAAGACAGTGTTTCGTTATTCTTATTTACTGACCAACGTTATTGAGAACGATTGTTAAGTCTCTCTCCCGTTAGGTTAATGTTCATAAAGATACGAACAGCTTAAGAATGATCAGTGAATGAAACAATGAATAACACATTATGGTTGTTATATGTTTTATTTAACTTTATTACAAACAGCTGAGATGTAAACAATGTTATACAACACAATATGTCAACCAAACATTTCAAACATTTTTAACAGGTGTTTAAAGTTAACAAATAACTTTTGTTTGAATATCTTGAGAAAACAATGAAATAATCATAAATCACACACACCACGGAAGGATAGACTGGGAGAACATGGAACCGCACGGAGGTGAGGATACATGGTGAGCTAAACTATTGGAGGTGGCGACAGAAAACTTAAGCCAGCATGTCAGGGAATCCACAAAAATGAGAGTCAACGATGAACCAGAGAGACTCGACCTGGTCTTCACTCTGAACGACTCCGACATAAGGGAAATCAGTTTCGAGGCCCCAGTAGGAATGAACGATCACAGTGAACTGACGTTTGAGTATCTGGTCGCAGAAGGGTTAATGTACTCAAGGAAGGGAACTGAAAACAAAAGGCTGGCATTCTGAAATGGAAACTATTAGGAAATAAGAAAATTCCTAACAGATATAACATAGGAAACAGAGCTCAGGGTAAGACGGCCCAAGACATGATGAACTACATCACGCACAAGTGTAAGGAGGCAGCAGACAAGTGTGTCCCAGTCCAAAAGGAAAAAACGAAATGCAAATGAGAAACCCATGGTTTAAGCAGAGATGTAGGCTAGCTAAACAAGGAAGTCCAAGGGCATGGAGAAACTATAAATTAACAGGACACTAGAGAGCAGAGAAAGATACCAGAGTGCCAGGAAGGAATATGTTAAGTTGAGAAGAGAGGCAGAAGGGCAATACGAAAATGACATCGCAAGCAAGGCAAAGACTCAACCTAAATTACTGCACAGCCACATCAGGAGAAAAACAACAGTAAAGGAACAGGTAATGAAATTAAAGATAGGGGCAGACAGATTCACTACAAACGACAAGGAAGTTTGTGAGGAACTGAATAACAAATACCAGGAGGACTTCACATTAGAGCAAGAAGTTTCAGAAATAAGAGAGGGAATAGTTAACTATGAACCACTAGAAGAGTTCCGAATTACCAGTGGGAATATAAGGAAGCTCTTGCTAGAGTTGGATATGACAAAGACAAAGGCAAAGGATATGACAAAGTAGTTAACAGATGGAATCTTTCCTTGGATCCTAAAGGAAGGAGCAGAAGCACTATGCTTGCCACTCTTCATAGTGTATAACAAATCACTGGTAACAGAGGAACTGCCAAAAATTTTGAAGATGGCTAATGTAGTCCCGATATACAAGAAGGGGGATAGACAGGAGGCATTGATCACCAGGCCAACGTCCCTAACTTGCATACCATGCAAGCTGACAGAGAAGATTGTACGAACAAAGCTAGTGGAACATATGGAGCGAAAGAACTTTGTAACTCAGCATCAACATGGGTTCAGGGATGGCAAGTCCTGCCTCAATGGATTAATTGAATTCTACGACCAGGCAGCAAAAATCAGGCAAGAAAGAGAGGGGTGGGCAGACTGCATATTATTGGATTGCCAGAAAGCCTTTGACACAGTACCACACAAGAGGATAGTGCAAAAGCTGGCGATGCAGGCAGGAGTGAAAGGGAAGGTACTCCATTGGATAAGGGAGTACCTAAGCAACAGAAAACAGCAAGTCAGGGGGTGAGGTCTCAGATTGGCGAGGCGTCACCAGTGGAGTCCCGCAGGGGTCAGTCCTTGGACCTATACTGTTTATGATATATGTAAATGATCTCCCAGAGGGTATAGAATCGCTCCTTTCATTGTTTGCTAATGATTCAAATATTATGAGGAGGATTAAGACAGAAGAAGACAGTACGAGGCTACAAGATGACCTAGACAAACTGAATGAATGGTCGAACAAATGGCTACTAGAGTTCAACCCGAATTGATGTTAAGTAATGAAACTAGGCGGTGGAAATAGGAGGCCAGACACAGGATACAGAATGGGAGATGAAGTCCTTCATGAAACGGAGAGAGAGAAAGATCTAAGAGTTGATATCACACCAAACCTGTCTCCTGAAGCCCACATAAAAAAATAACGTCTGCGGCGTATGCGAGGCTGGCTAACATCAGAACAGCCTTCAGGAACCTGTGTAAGGAATCATTCAGAACCTTGTATACCACATATGTAAGACCAATCCTGGAGTATGCGGCCCCAGCATGGAGCCCGTACCTTGTCAAGCACAAGACGAAGCTGGAAAAAGTTCAGAGGTATGCCACTAGGCTAGTCCTAGAACTAAAGGGCACGAATTACGAGGAAAGGCTGAGTGAAATGCACCTCACGACACTGGAAGACAGAAGAGTGAGGGGAGACATGATCACTACCTCCAAAATTCTCAGAGGAATTTACAGAGTAGATAAGGATAAACTTTTTAACACGGGTGGTATGCGAACAAGGGGACACAGGTGGAAACTTTAGTACCCACATGAGCCACAGGGACGTTAGAAGAACTTTTTCAGTGTCAAGAGTAGTTAACAGATGGAATGCATCCGGCAGTGATGTGGTGGAGGCTGACTCCATACACAGTTTATAAAGTAGATATGACAGAGCCCAGTAGGTTCAGGAACCTGTACACTAGTTGATTGATAGTTGAGAGGCGGGACCAAAGAGCCAGAGCTCAACCCCAGTAAGCACAACTAGGTGAGTACACGTCATATTGTGTGAGAGGATAATTGTACCAAAACAGCTGTGAGTCGCCCCTCGTCTCCTGTTAACATTTAACAACATCTGCTAATGAAAGTTATTCCATTTATCCAGATAATGAATCACTGCATTATATGTAATGTACTGTATTGTTATGTTGTCTGGTCTGACTATTACGGTATGAGGTGGTCAACATAACCGCGCTTGGCTGACGCCGAAACCTCAATGTGGCAACTTATGTTGAGACAATATATGATCAAGAAAACATTACTTGTAAAATTAGCAAATTTAATATGACATGAAAATTCCACATATGTCAAAGTGTGACGAATATACTCTCTTTGGCCGACACGTAGCGAAGATGGTTACCATGTAGCGAAGATGGCTGTCAAGTAGCGAAGATAGTCGACATGTAGCGAAGATGGCTGTCAAGTAGCGAAGATGGTCGCCATGTAGCGAAGATGGTTGTCAAGTAGCGAAGATAGTCGACATGTAGCGAAGATGGCTGTCAAGTAGCAAAGATGGTCGACATGTAGCGTCATCAGTTGCCATACCTCTTGTAGGGGAGGGCTGGAGCTACAGGGAGCACCGCCCCCTGGGGCTGGTAGCCCCCGTGGTCGGCCACGAAGGTGATGTCCACTGGCACTCCCTCAGGGGACGTGTACCTGGGGGGGGGGGGGAGAGGTTGGTCTCTAGATAAACAAACACTTCGGTAAACTATGAGATCTGTACAACACTGTGATGGCCAGTTTGACACACTCATCAACTGTGAGTTACTCACCTTCTGTGAATATACATTGTAATCACATTCGCCGCAAGAAGTACGCATGAGTATACCTACGTATACCTGGGTATAACTTGAGAATGATCGTAATCAACTCATCGCCAACCATTAATATACTCATCATATATATCCCTGGAATGTGTTGCGTAGACCAGGTTACTCACCTCCAGCCGCCCTTGGAGGTCTGTCCGTCGTGCTGGGTGCCGTACTCCTCCCGCGCCGTGCCGTCGCTGGAGGCGTACTGGAAGGAGTATTCGCCGTACCCGTCCTGCGTCCTGTCATCCTTGACGATGTCGGCGGCGCTGACGGAGTGACCGGACTGACCGTAGGTGGGGCGCTGGTCCGCACCAGTTACGACGACCGCCACAGCCACGACCTGTACAAGCCAACTACTGAGAGAATTATATAACAAAAGACTTAACACTTTGTGTCATAACTGCCTGTTAAACAACTGCCATATCTTCGCGGTGCTTCATATTATATCTAAACACATCTCAACATCGGGGCCAAGAATCTTACGAGGATCTCTCTCCAGCCATATAATATAATAATATTATATATTAATATAATATACAATAATATACACCTGGAAGATACTGGAGGGCCAAGTACCAAATCTACACAGTAAAATAACAACGTACTGGAGTGAACGACATGGAAGAAAATGTAGAATAGAACCAATGAAGAGCAGAGGTGCCATAGGCACAATCAGAGAACACTGTATAAACATCAGAGGTCCGCGGTTGTTCAACGTCCTCCCAGCAAGCATAAGAAATATTGCCGGAACAACCGTGGACATCTTCAAGAGGAAACTAGATTTATTCCTCCAAGGAGTGCCGGACCAACCGGGCTGTGGTGTGTATGTGGGCCTGCGGGCCGCTCCAAGCAACAGTCTGGTGGACCAAACTCTCACAAGTTGAGCCTGGCCTCGGGCCGGGCTTGGGGAGTAGAAGAACTCCCAGAACCCCATCAACCAGGTATCAACCAGGTAACCAGCCAACCCGTTTTCGCACTTTAGTCAATATTGACTAAAGTATAGTCAATATTGACTTATTAAACACGTGCATATGTGACAAGCTCATTTATTGTGAATATTTTAGTTTATCTTGAAAAGCTTCATAGAAAACACCGACCTTACCTAACCTTAGTATGTTAAGATGAGCATCTTATTGCTTCGTAATTACAATTATTACTTAACCTATTATAGGTATAGGTTAAGTAATAATTGTAATTACAAAGCAATAAGATGCTTATCTTAACATACTAAGAACGTTAGGTAAGGTCGGTGTTTTCTGTGAAGCTTTTCAAGGTAAACTAAAATATTCATAATAAATTAGTATGCCACATATGCACTTATTTAATAAGTCAATATTGACTGTAAAAAAGTGTGAGAACGGGTTGCTCCAGCAAAGCTTTTCACTATATGAGTATTATGGGGAACATTAAGCAATATTTTGAAGAGCAGAGGAGACTAACGGCGAGGGCGAGGCGGGAGGCCATGTTGAGGCGGGTGGTGGCAGCGGGTGGTGGCGGCGAGTGATGTTTGCTGGTGTGTCCCGCAAGCTATATACCTCCCCGCTGGCTTCTCAGGCACGCCCAAGCATTCCATGCATGGCGGTAATGATCAGGTTTTACCTGCGTCAAGCTGAACAGAGTGGCAGCTACTTTCTCAGGTGCTGGTGCAACCTGGACGGGCGTGTCTCTCGGTCCGCGTTCACGCGCTCAGCCGTCCGTCCGTCCGTCCGTCTCTCTCTCTCTCCAGTACACACAAACATCATTCTCAAGAAGAGGAACCGCGTCCCTCGTCTTCAACATTCATTATACAAGAAGGAAATATGCCTTTATGTTTCTCCAAAGTTTTGTATTTCATAAATATAAGGACGCCATTTACATTTAATATTAACTATATAGAAGACAAGTTCTGGAAATTACGAGTGAAACATCAATACTGTCGAGAGAACAACGAGTCTGGGGTCAGAAAGTCGCATAACTATTGATGTAATGTTTAAGAAAATGTAGTGAATAGTTACTGTTGTTCAACACGTGTGCAACAGTGACGGACTTGCTGACGTCGGTCACAGTTAAGTGCAGACAACTACTTCGTTATCTCTCATCTTGGTGATTACCTACTCATGCCCGTCTGTGTGCCATAATCTTCATCAATCTACATCTAGATGATGTTGCAGAGAAGATACGACAGAACGATGGTACAGAACGATGGTACAGAACGATGGTACAGAACGATGGTACAGAACAACGGGACAGAACGATGGGTCAAAACAATAGCACACGAAAACGTTAAGATTATACGTTCATTAGTAACATGGAGGAAACAGACACGAAGAAAGATGTTTGTGTTCCGAATGGTGTTAAAGCTTTATCGCTGCTCCTTTGTTTTGTGACATGTGACATGTGTCGCATGTGACAGTACATGTCCGTGTTCACCCCCACGAGCCTCGCATCCTGAGGGCGCTGACGACGGCAGGCAGTGCAGACAAGGACGGACCTCTTCCCCAGCCGGGTTCTCACCTGAAACCTAAAATATTCATCTGGTTTTCTAGTTCTGAACTATTTCTTCATCCCATTTGTCTCATCTGTTATGCATGGTAATTCTCGTTTCGGGTAAGCAGCAAGCTTCTGCAGGTCACGTTGTGTTGGTGGGGACCCGTCCGCGGGGTCCCTCTGCCTCGCCCAGGTCACGTTGTGTTGGTGGGGACCCGTCCGCGGGGTCCCTCTGCCTCGCCCAGGTCACGTTGTGTTGGTGGGGACCCGTCCGTGGGGTCCCTCTGCCTCGCCCAGGTCACGTTGTGTTGGTGGGGACCCGTCCGCGGGGTCCCTCTGCCTCGCCCAGGTCACATTCCAGTCTCGTAGTTTTCCCTGTATAACTAGCGGTAGTTCTTGCATTGCTTAGTAAGGGGCATTAGTGTGTTCACCTTTGCATTGTACATTTTCGGCAAGTTCTGTGGTCGCTTGCAATTCGAGGTTCGACAAAAGTTGACCCTAATTTGCATCCCGTCCTCATAAACAAAGATCAAAAGTGATTCCATGCACCCGCCAAACCCCATGTTTGTGAATGATAAACGGTTTACACACGACTCAACTGTTGATGTTTGAAGACTTCTGGAACAAGTGCTTCACTGACGAATTTTGTTCGAACCACAACGATGTAAATGCTTCACCCACGTACTACAAATACAAATAATCTACAACAGAACCTAAACACCCAACCTAACCTACGCCTATATATGCACAATATGCTATTATAATATTCATTTATATTTGAGAAAATTCCCGTTTTGGACGAACAGCATGTACAAATTTATGAATGCGTCTGTGGGGTCGACCGCTGGATGTAATGGACTTGAGTCGAGGACGGGTTGCTATAAATGCTTCAGTCACGTACTACCTATACAAATAATTGCCAACAGAACCTAAACACCTATCCCAATTTACGCCTAATTTTACATATAATTTTTATGTATAATAATTTATATATAAGAACAAACCTATTTTTAATACAAAGTATGTTAAAGTTGTTGAATGCGTCTGGGGAGGACGGCCACTGCTTTCAACAGCCTAGTGTGAGGACAGGTTGCTGTAAATGCTTCACCCATATATTACGAATACAAATAATTGCTAACAGAACCTAACCAATGCCTAAGTAAGTAATTATCAAAAAGAAGGTACCAAACCTGGAAGGCTATGTAGCACCATCAAATGTGCGGAATAATCAGAGGGCGCTAAATATCACCAAGGATGCCAATACGAGAACAGAAACGCATAAGGCGAACGACATCAAAAGTATCCGATTCACCAAGAATTCGATCGAGGGACAATTCTATCGAGGGGCGGTCGGAAAGCAAGACACGTTCGTCCTGGAAGTCAGGACATTCAACAAGGATATGCACGACGGTAAGACGGACAACGCAATGTGGACAATAAGGAGCTGGGCGGCGCTCAATTAAGTGACCGTAAATTAAGCGAGCATGGCCAAGATGCAACCGCGCTAGAGCCGTTTCCCACCGCCGGTTACTTTGGCAGGAGGAAGGCCACAGGGGGACAACGCTTAAGAGTACGCAGTTTGTTACCAACAACCCTGCCAACAGGCAAGGATAGAGAAATAAATAACCGGATAAAAGTCGGAAAAAGGAATACCTTTACGGGAAACGGGACAAGACAGACAGCCTTTCTAGCGGTAGCATCCGCACGCTCATTTAAAGAAACACCAACATAGCTGGGAACCCAGCAAAACTCCAAGGATTTAAATTTACTAGAGATAAGAAACAGCCACTGTTGAATCCCGATGACAACGGGATGGGTAGGATTAAAGGGCCCGAGAGCCATGAGGGCACTACGAGTCAACGACAATCACAAAGGAGGATTGACAACGAGAAAGCAGGAGACGGAGAGCATGGAGAATAGCATAAAGCTCCGCTGTGAAGATGCTAGTCTCCGAAGGGTGGGACACATAAGTGCGGTCAGGAAAAACAACGGAGTAGCCCACACCGTCCGCGGACTTAGACCCATCGGTGAAGATGGAAATGGAGCAGGAGTGTGAAGAAAAGTGCGCAAGAAATAGGCGTTTCAGAACCGTAGGAGGAGTAAAAGCTTTAGTAATGTGGGTCAAGGATGTACAAAACTTCGGAAGGGGGACCCTCCACGGGGGCAAGGAAGGAACAATACGAGGAGAAAATGAGAAAAACGAATGGAAAGAGACACCTGTAAGCGAGATAGCCGGACAAAAAGAGGGAGGTGGTGAAGAGGAACAGGAACTACAGGAGGTAAAAGTCAAAGCACGACAGAGGAGAGAGGAAGGATGTTGCAAGGACCGCGCCAGATAGCGAAGACAGTAGCGATCACGGCGGTCCTGGAGAGATAGGAAGCCAGTGTCAACATACTAGCTGAGGATGGGAGTCGAACGAAAGGCACCAGAACTGAGGCGCAACCCAGCATGGGTGCAAAGCATCAAGACGGCGAACAGTAGAAGGAGAAGCGGACGAGTAAGCAGGGCAACCATAATCGAGCTTAAGACAGGACGAGTGAGGAATGTAGGGAGAGGAGCATATGCCTATCCACCCCCAAAAAAATATGGGACAAAACCTTAAGGATTGTAAGGGCCTTAGAGCATTCAGCGCGGAGGTAAGAGATATAGACTGACCAAGACAAATGAATGTCAAAGATTAACCTCAGAAGCTTAGCGGAAACCAATGCCTAAATATGCACAGTATGCTAATATATAACAATATTAATATATATATGAGAAAATTCCTATTTTGTATGAAGAGCATGTTAAAAGTTTTTAATGCGTTTTTGGGGGTCGACCGCTGGATTGGATGGAATGGATTTGGTGTGAGGAAGGATTGTTAATTAGACCATCTTGGTGTTGATGGATGGAGATCCTAGGTTTTTTTCTCAGTCTATTTTCTCGCCTCATATTGATGGCAAGTCACTAGTGGTTTATGTAGTTTACAACAATGTAAAGTATTTAAATAATGTGTGTGGATGTCATATCCCCATGACCCTGTGTGGGGACAAGCCGAGGTCACCAGGTCAACAATGTGAAAGACGGTGGTGAAGGTTCCCCAAGAGAACTGTGCATATTTGACAGTATATTTGTCTGAGCAGTTTACAGGTTTAGTGAAGACGGCTAATGCACTGTTTCTTGAGAAGTTACCCATCTCAGAATGGGTATAGGCTACAGGGTTACCCATCCCTGCTAGGTTACCTGCTTCACAGTCTGCCCTGCTAAGTATCTATCCCATCCAGGTGGACTACCTTCTGGGTGCACAATGTTAAGTCAGCGGGCGTATGCAGTCAATTGAGGCCTCTGTGAATGAGATAATTATTACCACATTTGTCAACACCCGAGGTCGTGTTGAACTTATATTCAAGCCTTTCGTATCATCCGGCTCACGAACAAATCCACAAGGGCCGTGACAAGGATTCGAACCTGCGTCCGGGAGCATCCCACGGCCCTTGTGGATTTGTTCATTTGATGCATCACGTTAGTGTGATCTCTGTGTGATCCGGCTCATAGTGTATCATCCGGCTCATAAAACGTTTGACTAGGAAAATCCTTCATGAGAACAGTTTGGAGCGTGAACCCGTTTCTCACCGAGGTTCCTGCCTAGTGTGTAAAGGTCTTCGTTAACGACGCATATTAGTTTTACTCAAGGTGAGTAGCAACAATTTCGTCGAACAAATTGTATATTGGAAATAAAAAGCGCTGCTTAAACTTATGTCGGGTGAGAAATTGATGTTCCTTTTGTTCTCTTGTTCCTATATTAATTAGTTTGGGTGAAGATAAGGAATTACTGCCAAATGTGGGCCGATGGACTCTTCTCTAGTATCAAGTTTTTAATTTTCTAATGATCGTCTTTGCATGTTCCTTTCCCAAGAATATTGCGAGGCTGCAGCCGATTCTGAGTGAGCTTAGGTTGTCTCTGATCTCCACCGACCTGAAGGAACGACAGCGGCTGTTGAAAGTTATCAACATGAAC